CAGGTCTACATCAGCAGATAATGAGAATTCCTAGAAATACTTGTAAATGAGTCTAAGCCGAGCAGTAGTGTCATCTAGAAGTCTGCTGATTTTATTGTGTGAACCACAGATGTGTGGTTCCTCTTGCATGATAGTATGATGATAGATGGAATTACTTGTGTCGATTTCACTTTGTCTCAGATCTAGATTCAGCTTTTTATTCAGGTAAAGGTAAATACATTGAAGATGAGTTACAAACACAATGTTGGAATTTAAAAATAGAGCTAGTACATACAATACTTAAAGTCACTATAGTACGTGTAGCGAGTAGATTATCCCAATAATATACTCGCTCCAAATGCATTGTTAATATTCCTGTCAACCTTTGGAGATGAATGAGGTGAGGCGTTTTACTACCACTGAGCTAACCGTGCAATCTCCGCTCTTTCTATGGTAATAACAGATGCTATACCGATCATATAAGATGTTAACACTCGGGCCGTCATACGAAGACGTAAACCAGTACACAGAGGAAGGAGAGAGAGAGAGAGAGGAAGAGCGAGAGGAGAGAGAGAGGAGAGCGAGAACGAGAGCAAGGGAGGGAGAACGAGAGCGAGTGAGGGCGAGGGAGAGTGAGACACTAGTGAGGGAGAGTGAGACAGAAAGATAGAGATAATCGTAGTCACAACCTATCGTATGAGTTACCGAGTGACGCTGCCACCACCCTGAGTTACCGGACAGGGGACCGGAGTGAGAGTCGTAGGTCTTGCAGATGGAATAACCTACCAGGACAGGTGTAGGGGACAATTGAACGGTACAAGGATCCTGGCCTGACACTCGAATAATCCTGACCACTTGGGAACTATAGTGTACACAAGAATAAGGCGGGACACACCAATACTAACACCTCAACACGGAAGACGAACGGGGGGAGGAGTACTGAATAATTAAGAGCACTAGGTCACTAGGGCAAAGGGGACGGTAGGCCCAATATCACTAAAGCAAGGAACCATTAATACACATTGAATAACACTTAATATCTGACTTTATTAGAAATAATTAAATAAGACACTCCCTAACTATATTCCCTACTAGAGGCCAAGGGTACTGAATGAGGTGCTTTAGTACAAGAGAGCCGTACTTACTCGTGTGTTGTTCCACAGTTTTCCTGGAGATGATGTTCCTTCCCAGAGTCCACCCACACCTCCCTACTGGGCTGTGCCCACTCAACTGACTCTGCCCTGATCTGTTGCTCCTCAGCTGAACATGAGGGTTTTGCATTTGATGTTTAGGGGTTAATCCCTGAAGATTACCATGACGGCATCAATTCTGACCTCTTTGTGATTCGATGACCGTTGACCTGACTCCATGGCTAACTTGTACAGAGGTGTAACTTTTACATTGTCTGCCGTCGCCTGACTGGCGCCTGTGGGTTGTTCATCCTCCACGTGGCCTGTTCATGCTGTTATGATGTTCATGTACTATGTACTGCTCTCTTGTTACATATCCCCCAATGTCCCGGTTTAAGAAAAACCGTGGGCGAGGAACTCGAACATGGCTTTTCTTATCCCAGACCACAAAGGAACTAGCACATGCCTCGAAAAAAAATAGCTACCCTATCTAAATATATACATCTCACAGTCGAGAAATATTTATAAAAACTCTCAACAATAACAGTTACCATGGTAACTCAAAATCCAGGCTGACCATACCTGCATGGCAGCCCATCTAACCTCTTAGATGACAAATCAACATTAATTTGAGAAACAAAAATTAACACAATTTATGACAAACAATTAAATTTATACTGGAACCATCTTTCCGCTGGTTCCCCAGTTCACCAGAGTCTACACAAAAATTGTCATTCATAACATTTTCTCTGTAACGGTGAACAAGTTTTCTGACCTTAAAAAAAATTACATATATATTGTATATACAAATTAACAAAGTCTTTATTCCCGACGAGTCCGTTGTCCCGATGTTGTTGACTCGCTCATTGCTGTACACGGTGAGGTGTTGCCCGAGCATATAAGCAGCAGAATAGCAAACATTAACTAGTCTACTTTCAAGTGTGGTCTAGAGCAGACACTTGCGAGATACTGTACCGACGCTCAGTGCGCTTAACTCACACCAAAGTATCACCTGTGTACTTCTGTATATTGATTGATTGTTGCCGCCGAAGGCGGCTAGTTTATTGTGCACCCCATACTCATCCTGTGAGCGGTAGCGCAAAAGCATTACAGAGGGCACAAAAGGTCTTTATCAGACCTCATCTTAGATTATTACATAAACAATTTCTTCAATCCTTCACACCTTATAGATACAATGTCAGCTAGTTACAGAGAAAGTGCTATTACAAGAGCTACATATTTACAGTAAGTCATCATACATTAATGGTAGGTCTTGTCGTTAATACATAATAGTTTGGCCAATGGGGATATTACAGAGTCATAGGGGAGCTTCTGTTTATTATTAGTCCTCACAATACACTACTTGTTTCTGAATCTCATATGTCGTTCATCTACTGGAAGCAAAATGTGGGTACAGTGCAAGGATTTCAGGTAATTTATCCATGGTAATAAGATAGGTTGCCATATCATACAGAGTGAGCTTAGATTTATCTCTAAAAGGCTCAATTTTACAACAATCCAAGATATAATGTTCGAGTGTGTGTCCCTGCCTATGTCCACACACTTTACACTTTACTTCATCTAGATCCCTATACAAGCCGAACTGCCAGAGATACTTGTAGCCAAGTCTTATACGAGCTGTGACAACATCTGTTAGTCTACTGACTTTGTTACTTGCCCCATACACATGTTTTACTTCACACATTTCATTGTGATGAACAATGGACCTACTAGTTCCAGTTTGCACTGTTCTACTTTCTTCAAATCCATCTAGGAGTTCTCGTCTAATGACACTTTTAAGGGACCTATTTGATAACTCAAGATTCCATTCAATACTGTCTTTATTTACTGCAGCCTTAGCAAGGGCGTCAACTTTGTCGTGTTCCTGCATGCCAATGTGAGAAGGAATCCACAACATTTTTATATTTACCCTCTTGCTAAGTATTCTTACATATCTACGTCTAGCTTCCAAGACAAGCACGTTATTACTTGATTGCAAACTGTTTATTGCTCGTAGTGAGGATAGGGAGTCAGAAATAATTAAGCTGTCTACTTCAGTGTTGTCAATAATTTCGAGTGCTACCAGTATCGCTACCAACTCGGCTTGCATTGTGGACGCCCAGTTACTAATTCGGATATTTCTTTGAATTATTCTGCCATGGGGCTGATGAGCAATAACAGCCCTTCCTGCCCTCCCTGTAGCTGTATTGAGTGATCCGTCAGTGTATATGGTCTGTGCAATGTTGTTTTCAGCTTGTATATTGTGAATGTGTTCTATGGTGCTTAATTTAGCAGCAAGCTGAGCATGAGGGTTACTTGTGATTAGTTTCTTGGTAAGATATGCAGGGGTCAGGATGTCAAAAGGTACTATCTGCCAGGGTGGAAGGAAGTGCTGTACTCTTTCATCTGTATATACATCGTGCAGTCCCATCATTTTAATATGAGTGGCAGTTCTTTGAATCCATTTAGACTCGCTAGTTCCATTTCGTATGTGTTCTAACAGTGCAACTGACACAATGTTGTTTTTGTTATCACGCAGCAGCTTTAGTCCCATCATAAGATTAATTTCAAATATTCTATCTTGAATGCTAAGTATATTTAATTCTTTCCGCATGTTGAGAACTTTGGTAGTTATAGGACAGCCAAGTATAATTCTGAGTGCTTCATTTTGCATTTTTTCCAGTCTATCAATACTTTTGCCATTCTGCAGGACCAAAGCTGGTGCATGATAGTCTATCAGAGACCTTATATACGCTAAATATCATCATTCTTGCTATTCTAATATAAACACCATATTTCGGGCTGTACCCCACTACAGTTCTGAGAGCCTTGAGTCTGTCTCTACATTGTTGATGTAACTTATTGACTGCAGTTGAGGTACAAGGGACAGAGACTCCAAGGTATTTGAAAGAAGAGACATAGTCTATTGTTATGTTGTCTATCTTAAGTTTTCGTGGTCCACTTTTGCGGTTGCCAATTTGTCTGTTAAATACCTTAGTTTTAGCAGCGTTGATTACAAGACCAAGGCTCTCACAAGCTGTATGTATACAATTTAAGACTGTTTGCATTTCGCGGTGGGTTTTAGTATGCACAAGGATGTCATCTGCATAGCTGATAGTGATGTTTGCCGGACTAGTTGGGATTGATTTTAGTAAAGCATTAATTAGAACAGTTCCTTTGACATGACGGATATCCGAGGTAAATTGGGAAAATCTACAAGATTTTGTTAAAATTCTTGGTGTACTACTGCTCTCAGATTGCTCATTGACAATCCAAGGTTACACTCAACGTCTGTGAGTTTTGTCATTAGTGTTGAATTGTGGGGTTCAGTCCCTGAACACATTATGTGCCTGAGTGCCTCTGTAACCCCTTCCACTACCGCCCACAAGATGGGTATGGGGTGCATAATAAATAAACTAAACTAACTGCTAATTAGAGTTTGTTCTAATCTCATTAAGCTAAGAGAGTTTGGAGCGAGTATATTATTTACATAATATACTTGCTTCTTCAGTTATTCAGTCTCACACGTGTGGTCCGTGTACTTCAAAACTCCGTGGGATTCAAAAACTACACAGAAAATGTGAACAAAATATGACTGACAAGTAAAATAATTGTATTTGATACAGAAATAAATATGTATGCATATATATCTGGGAAGAGTAGGTAACTATATGTATATTTTGCTCTAGCTGTGGTCGTTATTAAAAACAAAACTGTAAAAAAACTTCCTCCAGTCTCATAAGTTACTCCTTTGACAAGTAGTCGACAACAAGAGCCCAGCTGACGAGGTGACCAATGAGAAGCAAGCGTGCGCCAAGTGGGAATGTGATTGGTGTAAAGCATGGTGGTGGAGAGCGACGAGCGTGTATCCTGCGGGCGTTTGTTTATAAACAGCAGGTGTGGCCATTGTGTCAGGCGACCATGGAGGAGGAACACGCCAAATTTGAACTGGAAATAGAGAACATTGTGGAAAGCGACGACTTTACTATATTTAACCAAGATGACCTTCCAATGGGAGGCTTCCAAGTCATGGAAGACATCAGGAGGAAGGGGAAGCTGTGTGACGTGACACTGAAGGTAAGACTAGTGGTGCCCAGTGGTAGGTCCTACCTCATGTTGTCACCTGGCTGGCCAGCTCCTGCCCCACACGCCCGCCCTCACCCACACGCCCGCCCTCACCCACCAACACGCCCGCCCTCACCCACCCATACACCCACACGCCCGCCCTCACCCACACGCCCGCCCTCACCCACCCACACGCCCGCCCTCACCCACCCACACGCCCGCTCTCACCCACCCACACGCCCGCTCTCACCCACCCACACGCCCGCTCTCATCCACCCACACGCCCGCTCTCACCCACCCACCCACCCGCCCTCACCCACCCACCCTCACGCCCGCCTTCACCCACCCACCACCCACCCTCACGCCCGCCTTCACCCACCCACCCTCACGCCCGCCTTCACCCACCCACCCTCACCCACCAACACGCCCGCCCTCACCCACCCATACACCCACACGCCAGCCCTCACCCACACGCCCGCTCTCACCCACCAACCCACACGCCCGCCCTCACCCACCCACCCACACGCCCGCCCTCACCCACCCATACACCCGCCCTCACCCACACGCCCGATCTCACCCACCCACTCACACGCCCGCCCTCACCCACCCACACGCCCGTCCTCACCCACCCATACACCCGCCCTCACCCACATGCCCGCTCTCACCCACCCACCCACACGCCCGCCCTCACCCACACGCCCGCCCTCACCCACACGCCCGCCCTCACCCACACGCCCGCCCTCACCCACACGCCCGCCCTCACCCACACGCCCGCCCTCACCCACACACCCGCCCTCACCCACCCACATGCCTCCCCGCCCTCACCCACCCACCCACATGCCCGCCCTCACGCACACACCCGCCCACGCCTCCCCGCCCTCACCCACCCACACACGCCTGCCTGCCCTCACCCACCTACACACGCCTGCCTGCCCTCACCCACCTACACGCCCGCTCTCAACCACCCACACGCCCGCTCTCACCCACCCACCCACATGCCCGCTCTCACTCACCCACACACCCGCTCTCACCCACTCACCCATATGCCCACCCTCACCCCCACACGCCTGCCTGCCCTCACCCATCCCCACACGCCCGCCCTCACCCACCTACCTACCCTCACCCACACATGCCTCCCCGTCCTCACACACCCGTTCTCACCCACCCACACGCCCGCTCTCACCCACCCACACGCCCGCTCTCACCCACCCACATGCCCCCCCTCACCTACCTACCCACCCACACGCCTGCTCTCACCCACACGCCCGCTCTCACCCACACGCCCACTCTCACCCACACGCCTGCTCTCACCCACATACCCGCTCTCACCCACATACCCGCTCTCACCCACACACCCACTCTCACCCACACGCATGCTCTCGCCCACATGCCCGTTCTCACCCTGGAAAACAGTAGAGTAAGGGGAGACATGATAACCACCTACAAAATTCTCAGGGGAAATGACAGGGGTGGACAAAGACAAACTCTTCAGCACGGGTGGGACACGAACAAGGGGACACAGGTGGAAACTTAGTACCCAAATGAGCCACAGAGACGTTAGAAAGAATTTTTTCAGTGTCAGGGTAGTTAACAAATGGAATGCATTAAGTAGTGATGTGGTGGAGGCAGACTCCATACACAGTTTCATATATGGATATGATAGAGCCCAATAGGCTCAGGAATCTGTACACCTGTTGATTGACAGTTGAGAGGCGTGACCAAAGAGCCAGAGCTCAACCCCCGCAAACACAATTAGGTGAGTACATGCTTGCCCGCCCTCACCCACCCACACGCCTGCTCTAACCCACACATGCCTGCCTGCCCTCACCCACACACGCCTGCCTGCTCACACCCGCCCCCACACACCCGCCCGCCCTCACCCACACATGCCCCTCCCGTCCTCATCCCCACATGCCCCTCCCGTCCTCATCCCCACACACATTCACCCTCACCTACCCGCACACATGCCCCTCCCATCCTCATCCCCACACACATCCACCCTCACCCACCTGCACACATGCCACTCAAAAACTCTCACTTACACCTTTTTCTCTAGTATATTATGCTGTTATATTATTGTTTAATACTTGCTCCTGTCATTACAATAGAATAATTTACCAGATAACCATCCGTTTTAATGCTCTTATCAGGGAAGGTCTCTGCACAAATTGCCCATTCATGTGTTCATGGCCTGTCAGGATTTTAATGATAATTTAGGTAAGCAGGTTTGGATTCATGGCTTACTCCATAAACTAGAAGTGTACATACCATGTACCCACACATGGGATGGGTACATGGTATGTTTCCCACATAAAATGCTTTAGATGTAAAGGATTTAACTATACCTCAGAAGGCTGCATTAAAGACAGTAAATGTGGGAAATGCTGTAGTTCCCATTACATACAAGCCTGTGCATCAGATGTGCTTACCTGTTCAGACTGTGGTGGCGATCATGACATTACATTCAAACAATGTCCTTCATACATAGCAGCAAAAACTAAGGCTTTCCCCATCAACAACCTGCAATACAGTAGTGCACTGAAACAACCTAATTCAGTCCCTCATCCATCACTACCACATTCTCATCCATGATCTTTGCATGTACCAGGTACGTCTGTCACTGACCATCCTGCATCCCCAGAGTCCAATACTTTCCCACAAAATGTACTACTTACTTCAGATCTTGTTGAAACTCTTGTCCTTTCATTGAAAATGCACTAGAAAAGACACTAGACCAACTCTTAACTAAATTCTTTACACAAGTAATCCAACCCATTCCCTAAGCTGACCCAACACACACCCCATCCACATCTACAGACAATGGCATGCGACCTAATGCATCTACCATTGCTGTATACAAAATGTTTGAACTGATGCTGGACAAACTCCTAAATAACTACTTAGCATGCCTTACCCAAGTCACTTCCCAGACTGACTTGCCACAAACCACTAAGAGTAAGAAATCCCCAGCTGTACAAACCTCCTCGCGACCACTTGGCACTTTGACTGAAAAACCACATAAACCACCTAAATTATTGTGATCGTCTCAAAGCTCTCCAAATGTACTCACTAGAAAGGTGGAGAGATATATCAAATAATATACATGTGGAAGATACTGGAGGGCCAGGTCCCAAATCTACACAGTAAAATAACAACATACTGGAGTAAACGATATGAAAAAAAATGCAGAATAGAACCAGTGAAGAGCAGGGGTGCCATAGGCACAATCAGAGAACACTGTATAAACATCAGAGGTCCATGATTGTTCAACATCCTCCCAGCTAGCATAAAAAATATTGCTGGAACAACCGTGGACATCTTCAGGCGAAAATTAGATAGTTTTCTTCAAGGAGTGCCGGACCAACCGGGCTGTGGTGGATATGCGGGCCACTCCAAGCAACAGCCTGGTGGACCAAACTCTCACAAGTCAAGCCTAACCTCGGGAAGGTTTGGGGAGTAGAAGAACTCCCAGAACCCCATATATTGAACATGCTGTACTATTGGCACGTCAAAGAAGACAAATGCAATTACATCCCAGACATAAAGATCGGCAATACGACAACCTAACATAACCCATCTTATACTAACCTACCCCAACCTAACATAACCCATCTTATACTAACCTACCCCAACCTAACATAACCTTATACACACTAACCACATATTACTTAACATAATCTAACCTACCCTACTCCAATCTATCCTAACCTTTTCTGAATTGTGAAAAACTCCCAAACATACTTCAACTCACAAACTTGACTAAACCACACACTTTACTTAGCACAGCAACACTTCACTACCACCATCAACACGACTCACTTTTGCAGTCCTGAGTCAAGTTCCACTCATGTTTATTTATACAACGTTAGTTTTTTTTTTTTTTTTATTTATTATTTTCTACCACAGACGTGGCCACATATTTACAATGCTAACTAGCATATATACATTTTCTTCTGTCCTTCTTCATTGTAAAAATTGAATTGGTGTACTGTACAATGTTTTCCTTGGAATACGATGTCTGATAAGTGTTTGGGTCGAACAAGCGTGTGGTGCTGTGGCGTGGGGCGATTGTTTACCAGTGTATCCTGCCTACCCACCCAGTGATGACCGTGTTTAATTCTGAATTAACTGAATTCCCATCAACAAGTCATGGAGCATCCGGCGGCAACGAATGCTCTGCAAGCTATGCTGCAACCGCCGATGCTGAATTCCCATCAACAAGTTGTGGAGCATCCGCCGGCAACGAATGCCCTACAAACCATGCTGCACCCGCCGATGCTGAATTCCCATCAACAAGTCGTGCAGCCTCCGCTAATGATATAAAATATGATTGAAAGGCATATAAATTAGTGTAAAAAGTGTTGATAGAATACAGTATTATAAGTGTTAATGATTATTTAAGCCTTGACAAAAAGATACTGTACAGTGTAAATATACAGTAGAAATAATTTTCAATTGTGAATTAGAATTAGAACTCATGTGAATTAGTAGTAAGGCTAGCTGTTGTGTGAAGTGAATGCCTGAAAATAAGTGTACATACTGTATGTACCCTGTATACAGTCCTGAACAATATAAAACAAGCGCTGCAGAGGATGACGTAATCTTCACAGCTTCGTAATCTTCAGCTTCATTAATTTAATTAAAAGTAAGTCAATTTACCAATTTTATTATTTATAGTATTACAACATATTAATTGTTTTTTTTCAACAAAAGCTACATATTAGTCTCTGCAAATGTATATTCTATCCTTAGCAGAGAAAAGGTGAACTCAAAATATTTTGTCTTGGCTAGCTCTCAGTTAGTGACAAGACTCGATCGCCATTGTATGGTATGGCCGCCACAGCCCGTGTCATAACATTAAAAATACATTACCTGCACTGTTCAGGGTAAAACAAAACATATCTCTAAAATTTTATTGAGAAAATATTAACAATCACTGATTGATACATGAAATATTTTGCAATACAAAGGAATGAACCAATTTTTTCCCCACCCATCTGGACTTGATCAGA